CTGCAGACATGCTTTTGAATAATTTAAAGAAGAGACAGGTAAGACAATAGTTTCTATGTTTCAAGTTCCCAAAGTAGAAATTAAATAAATTCTAATTGAATGCCCAATTTGGGTAACAAATCTACCAAGTTCTTTCATTGCAATCATACTTCTGGAGATATACATTGGTGGCTGTCCATAAGATCCTATTTAACATTCTGTATTAAATACTCAAATCCATAATATCTGAAGTTAAACATTTAATGAACTCTAATATCATCAGGAAGCTCAAATCTTAAAAAACCTGAGTGAGATCTGACAGCTATTGGTTAACATATTGTATCTGAGGGTCTCAATTTCCACTTTACCACTTTTCTATTACATTCCAAGAGAGGTAAATCTTAGAAAAAGACATCATCTCACAAAACTGGGTCTAAATGCAATACTTTATCATCTGCATGAAACTTTTTCCCTCAGACTATCACTTTTCCTTAAAAAAAAAAGAAAAAGAAAAAAAGTATTTTAATACCAGGTTCTGGCCAGGCCGCAATCAACCTTTCTCTTTTAAAAGGAATACCTTAAGGTAGATTCATTGTATGCCCTGGGCTCTGCAGGAGAAAAGGATGAAATCTTCCATTGAAATGGTAGGTCTTAACTAGAAGGCCAATGAGCCCTGCAATACTGTAAACTTTATGGCATTCTGTACATTATATGTATTTTCCCAGGAGTCTCTAGGATTCATCATTCTCCAAGGGCCCCTGACCCCCGGATGATTAAGAACCTCTGCTCAATTTGTGCCAGCCACTGTACCAAATTAGGAAATCACTAATTTTGTACTGTAGCTACCCAATCTCTCACACAAATCTAGCCTACTTCAGATAGTACTACACAAATGTACATATCACTAATCTTTCATTAGCTAAGGGCTAGGTAAAAGGAAAGGATAAAGCATCAAATGCTTAAAACAGTTTAATTAGAATGTCATTAGTAGGAAACGAGTTTTGGAGCAAAGGGAAGAACTGAAGAGCTATGCTCTGTGCTGAATGAACAGAGCTGTTTTTCTCAGTTGCTTCTATGTTGAAGCATCAGTAACTTTTCTCATATTCCTTGAAAAACTAGGTTTAGTTGAGAGGCAAAGACTTATGAGCCACAACAGTTTTGTTTTGCTGTTTTTCAAAAGAACCCAGTAATCTTTTTGGCTCTTTTCACCACTCCATACCCAGTATTTTCACTTTTTCAGCCCAGTTTAACAAAATATTAATTGGCCTTGATGAGGTAATAATACATTATTTTCTTGCTTAAGAGAATGAAACTGGCCCATTTCAATTTGAAAGGAGAGAGAACATCAAGAGGAAATACAGGAAACGGGGATATTGCATGCAGGAAAGAAAAGTGTATCTCTCTCTTATCAATTTAATCCCTACCCCCATGTCATGAAAGCCTAAGTCAACTGCAAGGTCAACACAATCTAATTTTCCTAAGTGACACTCCTACCTGTGCAAATATAAATAGGAACTGTGAGAACAGAGGCCACTAGCTTAATCTATAAAACAGGTAAGAGGGAAACAATCTGTGCTAAGGTGAAATTAAGTGGGAAATGCTCATTTGACAACAAAGAGGAGCTAATGCCTCTATTTCTGCTGAGCATTCTGACCACCATTCATACACACACTTAATTCAGTATTTTGGCCAATAAAACAATTCAGTATTATATATTTAGAAAATGTGTTCTTCAATATTTCAAGCATATCCTTAAGTATATATAATTTAAAACAAATAAACAAAACATGTGGCACATTACTGAAGGATAAAAAGTAAAATGAAGCTCCTAAAATTTTAAACTATAAACTATAAAGAAAAATTAATGGAGTCAATTGTCACTTGATTTAAAAATGGTTATCTCACTTGCAAAATCTGTAAGTAAAAGTATATGCAATTTTTGCAGGTCCCTTCAAAGAAAAACCTCAAATGAGAAACATTTACAAAATAAAATATTTACAAACATTTTCTAATACCAAAATCTAATATAATACTGTAAAAGCAGTAAAGTTTGAATAGAAAGTATACCATGTATTCAAAAATTAAGATCAAGAAAAGTAGTACCTGATTTCATCAGTTTTTAGAAATTACATGCTGAGTTTTCATGTGAATTTGTTCAGTAAAGATGGGCAGTGAAATTTTTTAAAATATTCAAACACATTTTCACATTTGGCAAAACTGTTATTAACACCAGCACTGTATTATAATGAAAAGTTATAAATAAGATTAATATATATACACATATGTGTATATGTATGTATAGATACATATGTGTGTATACATATACACACATATGCATGCATGCATGTATAATATTCTAAACCCACCAGTATTACCAAAGGTAAGAGAATTACAAGAAATCCATCAGTTCTCTGATTTGCTGCTGTCAGCAGGAAAAATGAAGGCCATTTGTTAGACAATCAGAAATTCTGAACAGATGCCTCATCAGTCCAATTTTACTTTTAGACTAAGCAAAATTTTCTTTTGAATGAGATTTTGAACTCCGGGGAAGAAAAAAAAAAGAATTTTCAGATAAATAAGCAAAGTATCAATGTGCTCTTTAGGAAAGTCAGCTGGCTGTAGACATGGATTCAGTTATAATACTAAGATAAACTAGACTTTAAGTTTGATTCAAATGTAAACTCCCTGAGGTAAGGACCTATTTCATTTCTGTATAGTCCCATGGTAGCTAACCTAGACAGTGTTTCATAGACAATACTCAACATACTTTTTGGAAAGCTAATTAGCCAGACTAATGTGTGATCAAACATTAAAAAGCAACACAATAATTCAGGTTATTTGAATTATGTAACTGATGTAATTTGATCTTTTTGAGACAGGGTCTCACTATGTAGCTCAAGCCTGCCTCAGACTTGAGATACTCCTGCTTTCATTTCTCCAAAGTATGGGTCATGCAGGTCTCCATGCCCAGCCTTTTCCCCATAAACTGTTCTAAAAATTAAGTAGCCAAGCAGCTTTATAATTCTCTAGAGGCCAATTAGTGTGTTGTAACTAAAAACAAGTTTGAGGCTAGTTCGAAAGATGAGTACCACTTTTTGACTGCTTCTGTTAGCTGTAAAAGTATATTCCCCCCAAATTTAAAATTTGGAGACCATATCTTCTTAAAACAGAGATAAATATGAGATGTCTTGATGTTAAGGTAGTAAGAGCCTGCTATACAAAACTGAGCTTCCTATTAACACGAATCTATACTTTGAGTATCACCACACAGAACTTTTTCCCTCCAAAAAGATAAAAGAACACACACAAAAGATTTTGAGGCATTTGCCCTGAGATGTTAATAGCATAAAAAAAAAGAGTGAGAAGGTCAAGGATTTTGAACACACATACAAAATGAAGTGCACACAAAGGAGGTGCACAGGTGAAAGCGGCAGGTGACCACATGTGGCAGGTGACCACAGGGGGGCTGTCCACCCTGACTACCTCCCCAGCTGGGAACGCTGCACTCTGCTGGGCTAACAGTGCAGTTCCTAGGCAGCACTATGCCTAGTATGGCAGAGTGCTGGTTCATGTGAAGAGACTTCAGTCTTCTTGGCTCACACACCAGCAACTTTCTCTCACTTTCAGCTGAATTTTTCCAAAGGAACATTTAAATTTCTCCTTCATTGTTCAAAAACACTCAAATTAAAAAAGGTTCTAAATATGCTGTTATGGTTTGAAATACAACTTATCTCATGTTTTACTTATGATTTAACTTCTACATTTCAAAAACTAGAAATTCAAGGTTTTCAAACTAGAAACTAAAAACTTCAGGTTGTTGAAAAAAAACAAAAAAAGAACCAGCTTGTTCTAATAGGGATTTATCTTTCAGTACTAGTATGTCTAGTAATTAACCTTTACTGGAAGCACTGTTAGAAATTAAATGCACTTTTAGATGTTTGCAAAGCCATAACTTAGAACATTACCATACTTCGCACTCTACCACAGATTTAGACATTAAGCATTTATTATAAGTTAAAGTATGGAATTGGTTTTGTAATTCCAACTGTTATAAATTTCTAAATATAAATAGTATTTCTGTTTTTATTCATGCTGGATTAAAATATAAATAAAATACAATTAAGTTACATTTAATCACCTCACAAATAAGAGGGATAATGAAAGAATTTGCTGGTATGTAACTACTTAAATCTGAGACATTTAACATTACTTTTCCTACTATTCCCCTAACTTTACATTAGTTTTAAGGCTATATATACAAATATGTGTATTTCCAAATTAGGAAAAAAACAAATATAACAAAATGAACTATACTAGCTTTATACACAAAGTTTTGATTTGTATTTAATATTGTATTTTAATCTTACATTTTAATAGTTTTCTCGTGGGGGAATCTGCCTACTGATTCATTACATAGTGATAAATACAATAATCAACTAAAGAGACAAAAATACAGAAGGACACAGAACAGTAGTCTTTTCGATGTGACAGACTGTAAAACTTACTTTCACATGCTTAGAGGAATTTAAACCTAAATTAAATTAGGTATTTTTATATCTACAGTTTCTAAAACTTTGAAATTTATTTTAAAAGGCCAACAGCTAAATATTATCAACATGCTATATTTCAAATCACAAATACATCTTAACCACTTAAGAGTCTAAAGACATGGGCCAATTAAAAGTCACAGGCAAACACATACAAACACACACATACCTACCATAGAATGTTAGATTGTCAAACTTTGACAATTAGTTTAATTAAACAGTAGGTAAATTCAAGCTGATGCACGTCTTAATGAAAAGTAAGCAGTCTGAAATAAACCTACTTGAAAAAGATTGAAGAACAACAAAGACTTAAAACTTTCTAATGGAAAGGAACAGTTCCATCTTGGCCTAGAGTATCAGTATTGCCCAATTAAGAGACTAATACCTTTCCCTATGAGAAGCATCTCCTTTACAATAGCATTGTGTGGTGAAAGGCCGGGGTGAGAGAGGAATTACACATACATGATTAAATTCCTTGTTTGTTAAATCAAGCTTTATTGATAAAATGAATTCAGAATATCTTACCAGGAACAGCAGCAGGCCCGGCCAATCATGATAGCAAAAAAGATTAAAAAAAAAAAATGTGGCAGTCTCCTACTATACGTAGGAAGCTGCTGCTCTTCAATTAGGAATTAAATGTAAGGACTTGTAAAAGAGGTCCAAAAAAAAAATCAAAGGCATTTTAGCCCCAAGATTGATATTGTTATGAATATATTGTATTACCTGCAATACTCATGGCAACAAGGAGAGAATATCCTGAAAGACAGTTAAATGAAGGGAAGGGCTTCATCAACAATGCCAAGAACATTAAGACAGTTTCCATAACTCCTTGGATGTTCGGCTTTGTGAAGTTTTGAAGTTATTCTCCATAATCATGTACACATTTGAGTGTCTAGTGATATGGTTGCTGCTCTCCCTGTTCCAATCCCAAGTCCGAACACAACAAGACTCAAAAGGGCTATATATCTGTTGCATCACATAACAAGCCAAACATTTCTTGTATCATTGATAGTGATTTTTTAAAAGCAGTTCATAATTAAATATGAGCATTTTGTACAAGGACAATTACACTTTACAAAACAATCATACAACAAAAATTGCTGGAGTCTGATTTACAACATGAATTATGGTTTGAAATCACGTTTCTGTAAGTTTCAAATTTACAAAAAAAAAACCAAAACGAAACAAAACAAATCAGTTCTGGGCTAGCTGTTGTACTGCTGAAGGTCTCTGGTGTAATCACGCTCACCCAACGTCATGTCATATTTCCTTCCTTAATGTTGAGGATGGATGTTAAAAGGTTCAACCAAGTTGGGCTGTACTCTCCTTTGGAGGTGATGGTAAATTCCATGGCTAGATGAGCAGTTTTACCACATATCATCAGTTGATGTAGAGTCCTTTATAAAAGGAAAAAAAAAAAAACAAAGAACAAGAAACTAAAACTTAGAGGTGCTTAAATATACTATGGTTCAGATAAGGTTTTGTAAAAGGTGATTTTTTACAAACATTTTTTAAAGTATGAAATTACATATGCTAGCATATGAAATATCAGTACTTTTTGTTTGTAATTTTTGTGAATGTTGGAAAAACATAATCTTTTTAGAACATTTTTTATAAACTTTTAAGTGGATCATAAAAGATTAAGAGCTCAAACCATATGAGGTTTTAGCAAGTTTTATAATGCACTATGTAAGATGTTTCCGAGCTCTTCCTACATTATTTAAAATGATCACATTTCTATAAACATCATACTACAACAGAACTGTAGGAGAAAAGTTAATATGATATTATAACATTTATAGAAGAAGAATTCTCTTTTTTGGGGGGTGGGGGTGTGGTCCTGGGACTGGAACTCAGGGCCTGGGCACTATCCTTAAGCTTCTTTTGCTCAAAGGCTGGCACTCTACCACTTCAGCCACAGATCCACTTCTGGTTTTTCCTGTGATAAACTGGAAATAAGAACCTCACAGACTTTCCTGCCTGGACTGGCTTCAAACCACAATCCTCAGATCTCAGCCTCCTGAGTAGCTACGATTACAGGTGTGAGCCACCAGTGCCCATCTTACTTCAGGATTCTTGGCATAGATATTTCCAACCATAGAAACTATTTATAGATTGTGAAGTTCTGTTGTAGCTCCCTACAAAATTCAGAATAATTCAAGATTCGGAGTAGAGATCTTCTCAACTAAAAGAAATATATTTGGTGGGGCAGGCCCTCTGAAGCTGGCCCTAGCTTACAAGGACCCCACAAAAACGTCATCACTCACCATGACTGTGTTCAGTCACTTGGACTGTGGTGTAGACAGGGATCGGGGCAATCAGAGGTGTGTGGAAGAGAATGGGAAGAGTGAGCAGCTCTGCGGTAACAGAGAAAGGATATGCATACGAAAATAGAGGGAAGGGGAAAGCAGAGGGAACTAAAATGCTACTCACAGTGTCATCATTTTTGTAAGGATTCAATCTATTGTAAACGGCTTCAATTACATTCCGCCTAAATTTTAAAAAATGCAGAAAATTAATTTCTCAGAAAGCACAGCATTGCTTAATAACTAAAAATTTCAAAAATGGTCTCATAATTAAGCATCATTCAGTTCCTCTATTTCTGGCTGGCAATACGTGACTTTCATTCACTCTAAAGATACATATGCACTAATGTTAACTATATGTAAATGTTACACTTCATCACAAATCAGTAAAACTGAAAGTCATGGTTAAAAATAAAGCAAAACAATAGCCTATATACTTTTATTTGAATTAGCTTAAAAGACTGAGTCACCAATGGCCATAAAAATCTTAAGACATACTAGTTAAAAAAAAAAAGACATGTTAGTTAAATGCTGTGTCACAGTTTTAAAATAGAAAGTTCACATTTGTTGTAGTAATTCATATTTTTATTATTGTTTTCTTCCCTACTTCTGTCCTTGCCTGCTGGTATAGATGATTGAAATCAATATCTAAGCAATATCTCATTTTAGCCATACCCAATCCTATCCCTACTTTTCTTTATAAATCTCTATTGAAAACTGAAAATTTAAGTATTCCCATGACAAGGCTAGGAGTTAACTTTTTACTGTTTTATTCTTGCTGTTGGTTTTGGGGCTTGGACTCGAGGTGTGGGTACTGTTTCTTAGCTTTTTCACTCTAAGTTCATAGTCTACTATTTAAGCCATAGTTCTGCTTTGGGAACTGTTTTGATCAGACCGGCTTTGAACCTCAATCCTCAGAACTCAGTCTTGTAAGAAGTTAGGATTATAGGCATGAGCCACTGGTGTCAGGTGGAATTAACTAAATCTAGTTGGGTGGCACACTCCTGTAATCCTAACATTGGGCAGGTTAGGGTGAGATTGAAGATCAAGTGTCTGGGGCCAGCTTGTGTTACATAGTCAAACTCTGACTCACAAAATAAAAGGTCAGTACTTTCATCCTCCATGGTAGAGCTTTTGTCAAGCAAAAGCAGTACCCTTTGGGTTCAATCCTCTCAACATGGCTAGATAAGTCTATAGAACTTTCCCTACTTTCAACGTAGATTTAAACAAAGTGTAGACAATCATAGCATAGATGGTCATGTAGAAGTAGTTACCAAAGAAGCTTCAAATGGAACTTTAACAATGATTCTTACTGAAATGATTACAAAGAATATGACTACAATAGAGAATAAGGGAAATGAGTAAGCAATGCAATTTTCATTTTTTTGTGCAGGTGACCTGAGTGCTGTTCCTGTTTTACTGGTGCTCTACCACTTAAGCCACGATTCCACTTCCAGTGTTTTGGTGGTTAATGGGAGATAAGAGTCTCATGAGTCAAACTGGCTAGACGTTGAATCATGATCCTCAGATCTCAGCCTTTTGAGTGGCGAAGATTACAGGTGTGAGCCACCAGTGCCCAGCAGCAATGTATTTTGAAGGTCAATTATTTAGGTAGTTGGGGTAAGTATTGAATTAGAAAACTGCTCAAATACTCCAATTTATATTAAGTACAGATATAATATATGCCACAAATTGTTCCAGTTCTATGAACTTTAGTGAAAGGAAAAAAGATAAGAAATGTATCTTCCTACCTTTCCCTATACCCAAAGCCAACTAACCAGTAATCAACAACCAAAATCACTGGGAAGGTTAGACATGTAGAAACACAGCCCATAGAAGTTTTCAGGTATTAATTATTGAGAGATTATGCTACTATTATTAACATTTAGTACAATATGGTTAAAAAATTACTGATATCACAGACTAAATATTTTGAAAGCCCAGATTAATGCACCTTTTTAGAAACTTTATCATTGGACACGTAACATTTTCATTTACTATCATCAAATCCAAGAGTACAGAATAGAACTTACTTGCTTGCCAATTCACCCCCTGGAGGGAGGCTGGGGATGTTCTCACTTGCTAACGTGCGCATCACGTGGACTAAGTCGGGAACGCCTTCCCCCTGCTTCTTTATGATTTCTGGGAATCAGAAGTACTTTTTTTGTAAGTGTTATCCAAATTTAATTAAAAAAATGAAACAAAGATAACTTAAGTTTTTAAAGATGGCATTTACTACTAAAATGTTCTAAATTGGTATCATAAAAAATCAGATCAACCTTTGAAAATTTAAGGCAAAAAGGATGTAGAAAAAGATACAAAAGGTTAACTTCAAGGAATTAAAACAATCTAGAAAAAAATGTGGAAAGGGAAGAAATTCATACTAAATCTATAAGTTACATAATCAGGGAGACACACACACACACACACACACACACACACGCACACGCGCACACACACACACACACACACACACACACACACACACACACAAAATGAATATAGCCTCTCTTAAGATGTCTACTAGTTACTTTTAAGATCAACTCCTCTCTTTAGACTGGACACATTTCCTGAATTTTGTCCTGTAAAATACATTGCACAGATAAAAAAATTCAGGACTTAAGCCAATCTTTTAATGTAGAGGAATTAATTGTATACTAACCCAAATCATTTTTACATATATGTAATTTATATTTGCAAAATGATACTTAAGTAGTATGTACAAATTAGGTTACATACTTGAAATCACTCTATCTCAAATTCTCTATAATATCCTTAAGCAATATTTAGATACACAGTACCATTTCCTGAGCAAAGGCTTGAAGGGGAAAGGTGTAAATTTCAAGGCAAGAACTTTAAGCAAGATTTGATAAACCATACAAGTACATTTAAAATAGTTAATTTTAAAACATTCAGTTATTAAATATAGTGATATGATATGCTTACTATTGTTACTCGTACCATAGAACTTGAAAATATAAGTCTATACTTGGAATTTTAGCACACATAGTCTACATACAAATTGAAGTCAAAGTACTTGCAAATTATATAATCAAGTTTTGTTCAGTTTTTGTTTTTCAAGGTTTATACTAAGAAATGGTACTTTCCTCCTTCATTGGGCAAGAAGTTATCATTCTAATCCTCAATTTGTAAATACCTTTGAAAATAATAATGTGTATGAAGATCTTTCATTCTTTGGTCCAACCTTAACTATCAGTTCATCATTAAAGGCACAAATTAAAAGACAGACAATGCTTAACATAGAATTTCTTTAAATGGCTCTAGTTGTCCTTCCAGAATAAAGGCCAAATTTCACCTTTTTTATGTTTTGCCTTATTTATTTTTTAAAAAACAGTCTTAAATCTGAACAAAAAGCAAGGATCTCAGATTTGGTTTGCCAAGTTCCTTTATTGTGTAATCTTGAACATCTAGCATATTCTACATATGGTTCTAATGCTGGAAATCTGCTATACAAAAATAAAGGGATTTGATTTTTTACCTAAACTACACAATTTTACAATCTAAATCTGTAACACACTTAACATACAGTCTCTACTAAGCCAATACAATGATTTGATAAATAACTAGATACAATAGAAATGAACACTGATGAAGAATTCAACCAATGATGGTTTCAGGTCTAACATTACTTTGAATAATCTATATTTGATGTATATTACATCTTTGTTAAAATATAAGATATTTTAACTGTGAAGAAAGGTACAGGAACCCAAAAATCTTTAAAAAAATAAAGACTTTAAAAGTGTTTACTATATCCTATTCCTTGTGGGACAATCCATTTAAACTACCTGAACATTAATTAATACTATACTAGCCTTACTTCTGTTCTTAAAAAAGAAAAAAAAAAAAAAAAGAACCTTAAGAAATATTCCTTTAATTGCTCTTGCACATTTTAATTAGACCGTGAAAAGACTCAGTGGTTTTATAAAGAATATAATGTATAAAATCATCCACATTTCACATGCACATATACAAAAACACATTCTGCTTCTTCCCACTCTTGTCCATCATATTTGAAGGATACTACCAATTTTCTCCAAATTAGCAACTCTAAAGCTCAGGCAGTCAGTAGCAAAGATTTTAAAAACATACACACATAAGAATAATCTTAAATTGGCTTAGAAGTCCCACAAGCTTAATAGCAATCTGGTTAAATAATGAGCTTAGTCTTTTCACTCTCCAGTCAAGTATATAGAAGGGCACAGACAACATTAGAGAAGACAGCCTGAAAAGCTTTTTCCTTCTCTATGTGGTGAACAGAGAAGCCAAAAACATTGGAAGCAACTAAAATGATGTTTAGTAGGTCACAGCAATTTAGTCAAGGCATGTGCTTAAAGAGAGAAAAGGTATTTGGTGCCTGGTTTGGAAGCTGCCGTATTTCCTCATTTAAGACATACAACATCTTTCACAATGCAAACAATTACATTCTTTTTGTGTCTTTAAATAGCAGCAGTTTTAATTAATGTATTCTTTATTCTCTAGCTGCAGTCTCATTAAATCTAAGAATACCATCTTTAATTTTGACACAATCTCCAATTGAATGGTACAAGTATAACATTTCAACATATCAAAAATAGACTATTATGTAAACTCTGCCCAGGTAGCAATTTTTGCTTGAAAGTAATATAAAAAAATAGTATAACAAAATTATATAAAGTGAATATTTTATAATTCCACCAAAAATGTAAGAGTACACATTGAAAAGAAATGTAGCAATTCATTTCTAAGACTGAATCCCATTTCATAATAAAAATACTAATGTGTTTATTTCTTTCTTTAAAGCAACAGGAAAATGTGTGCCCAAGTTAAAGTGCCAAAACAATATCAGCTTACTCCTATACATATTATTCTTACAGTTCCTCAGTTTTCTACTAATCAGCAGTTTAAGTCAGTGGCTTTGTAGCAAAGTATTTTTAATTTTACTGCATTATTTATAAATGATATTGGAATGATTATTTTAAAATGTGAAATTCACAAGCCCCATGATAATAGTGAGGTACACATGAATGAAATACTGAATAATACAAATACACACTAAATGTATCACTGTCAAGTAGGGGAAGGTAACAGAAACAAAACAGTAGTTGTAGACAGTACTCAAAAAAATGATTCTAGTATCAAAGTCATTATGATTAATATCAAAAAGTAAAAAAGGAGGAAATAGAATTAAGGTACATATTTTAATAATGCAGGCACAATGGGATGCAATAGGGGTATAGGTCAATGCTTGCATGCTACTAGAAGTCTTTAATGCAAATTAATGACATTAGAAGTCCCAAATGCATTTTTTATATAACTAGTGTAAAGTTGGAACTGCAAAATTTATATGCTACTGTATATATGGTAAACTGAAATTCTCTGGATAGACAATATTTAAAACAAATAGTAGGTATATCAAAGATCATTTATAGGAATGAATAGTAGTTCAGTGGTAGAGCACTAGAATGGTAGAGTGTGAGGGTTTGAGTTCAATTCTCAGCACAGAAAGAAAAAAAACACTACCACCAAAAAAAATTTTTTTTAAAGTTGTTCAATTATTTGAAGGCATTACATTGGAGAGATACAAACACTTTTCTGTTTGTTCCAAACTAATCTGTCTAAGTACAGAAAATACACTTGGAGTTTCTAACTTATTTCTTGATCTAATTTAGAAGTTACATATCTGTAATACAGAGAATTATTATGGTTTCTACTCAGGTAGAAAGCTGAGGAAGAGTTAAAAACAAGTTTGTCTGTTTGTTTTTGTTGGTCGTGGGGGCTTGAACTCTGGGTCTGGACACTGTGCCTCGGCTCTTCAGCTCAAGGCTAGAGCTCTACCACTTGAGCCACAACGCCACTTCCGGTTTTCTGGTGGTTAATTGGAGATAAGAGTCTCACAGACTCTCCTGCCGGGGCTGGCTCTGAACTATGATCCTCAGGTCTCAGCCTCCTGAGTAGCTAGGATTACAGGTGTGAGCCACCAGCGCCCAGCTAAAACAAGTTTTAAAAGCCGTGGCACATCAATGTAAATAACTAAGTTGTGACCTTCAAGTTATCAAAAATCAATAAATAAACAAAAAACTCCAGAGACTTTAAGTTAATATATGCAGCTTTTCATAGAGATGATATAGTTAAACAAACCATAAATCAGATTTTCCTGGCAAAAAGTTACCCATGCCAGTGAGGTCATCATAATTACAGAGCCCACAGTTTAGCCTGATACAATGTGGTTGTCTCTAATGAGACTGCAGACACACATCTGAACAGCTACTTCATAACGCCGCTCCACTCCTCCATACTAATACTAGGAGTGAAAGGCATGCAGGGAGCTAAAAAATAAAGCTAAAATGCTAACATTTGTGTTGAAGGTTTTTCTTTAATAAAAGCTACTTATTTTTTGTTAAATGATCCACCTTCTACTCTGCATTCCAGGTATTTGTCCAACTCTGCCTCCTTCTTCACAGCTTCTGGCGATACTTTGGGTGCATTTGGAAAACAGATCAAAATCACACTCATGTTGTCTCGACTTCCCTGGGGGAAAAATTGAGAAAACATTTTGGTTGTTTTTTTTTAACGCTTCTGTAAGCTTTAAGCATCTTTGAAAGTTATGCCAATTATAGCTATATTTGTAGAAAAAAGTGTTACTTTTAATGATTAAAAAATGTACATATGGGACAAAAACAGACATTACAGGTTATATCCACAATAATAATCATTAAAAATTCCACAAGATAAACTTCTAAATATTTAATGATAGCCTACTTAAGTTTAAGCAATACCTAATATAAATATACACATATTCACTCCATATAACACAGCAAGTGCTACATAGTTGTATTCTTTACAATTAGGATCTGATATATAAAGCTTAAAACCACAATAAATGGTAGGGTTAATCCATTCTCTTAATAAGTAGAAATATGTGTTGATGTTACAAAAGCCTGATTTATAAGGACAAGATTTTAGTTAAGATTTTAAGTTGAGATGGCTGTGTGTAAATAGAACTACAAAAAATAGTGTTGACTTTTTTATTTCTGCTTCTTCAAAGAAAATCAATAATTGAGCATTACTGACAAAACAGGAGAATATAGTAGAAAGTACAATGAATCTAATCAATGCTGCTGCTAAAGTTGTATAATCCCGTAGACACCAATTGTAACTTCTCTAGGAAAAGCACATGTTGAGCATATTATAAACTAGTCCAGGTTTTTCTCCCCCTCTCTCAATATATATGTATATATATATACATATATATACATATCTGTACCTCTATATGTATATATCGTATACACCTATATATCTCTACATATGTATATATAGTATAAAGTTAAGACACATATACATAACACATTATTGTAAATCCTCAAGTCCTATAAACTAGATTATTATCTCCATTAATAATTGAGAAAGATTAGACAATTTAAGACTGAAGAGTACAAAAGTAAGAGATAAGCCTTGATCCCAGGTCTGTTTGACTCTTAAGTCCGCAGAACCTTCTCTGGCTTCAGCTTCCTCATCTGTAAAATAAAGGGGCTCAGCTAGCTTATCTATGTACATGATCCCTTTTCCTCCCAACAACCCAACAAGATAGGGCAAAAAAAAATTTAAACTAAATAAACGGATACTCCAGAGAGTTTAGGTAACTTACCTGGAAGTCTTACAAAGTTCTTCTGACTCCAAGTCTAAAGCTATTTCTATTACTTCTCACAAAATAATCGCTTTGCTGGTGCTACAATCAATGTGATAGGTACAAAACACTAAGACTTCAAAATGCTCTTCATCTACAAGTATTGAGCCAAATCTTCCCCACCCATTTTTCTAAAACATGCACTCAACTTCCTCCTCTTTTTGCCTTTGATAATCTTCCATATTAACAAGCTTAAGTAGTCATGGTTAAAGACTTCTATAACTCTTGTATCTTGTAACTAGATATTTCTAAAACGTGTTCCTATATTTTCACCATTCTGTAATTGTGGAAAAATTTATTTTTAAGAACTATAGTCTTTAAGATGATTAAATTAGTAATTAACTTAGTAATTAACATGGCATAATCATTATTTTTAAAGAAGTCTAGCTACCTTATACAAACAGGTGTCGACTACTTCATTGCAAACTTTCTCAAGATCATCAGTGACTTCAAGTCTGGATCTTACAAAATCACAGAGCTCTTCATTTCCCATAACATCCCAGATACCATCACATGCAAGAATAATGAACTGATCATCTTCTTCAGATCTTTCAATATCATGAACTTCAGGCTCTGGTGAGACAAGCTGCTCTGTAGGACCTTTTCCATGGACGCATTTGTAATCAAAATCCCCAAGGGCCCTTGATACAGCTAGAGAGCCATTGACACGTTGAATCATTACAGAGCCACCTGCATTCTGAATTCGTTCTTTTTCCAGCGGATTGCTTGGTTTGTGATCTTGTGTGAAGAAGTGAACTTTCCTGTTTCTACAAAGTAAACCTCTTGAGTCTCCACAGTTAATGAAATAAGTGTGTTGGGGAGAAATTAAGACACCCACAGCTGTTGACCCACTTCTATCTGCACCATGTTTCTTCTCTGACATAACTCTCATGTGTTCATCAATCTCCAGAAAACCTGTTCTGATTCCATTCTTTACATTTTCCACAGAAGGTGCTCCTGCAGACCCTTTAAAATCCTGGTTATTGGTGATGTGATCTAACAAATGCTCACAGCAGTATTTGGCAACCTGAGAACCAGCATGCCCATCATAAACAGCAAAGAATGACCATGTTTCAAGTCCACTTGGCAAACCGATTACAGCGGTATGTGCATCCTCCATTTCAACTCGCCAACCTTGCATGCTGCTTAGCCCATATCGCAACCCATTACCCTGCCCCTGGGCATTATGCTTTTCCATCTTTGGCTTGTCTAAAAATGCTCCCATTATGTCTTGATCCTCTAGGTCTGTAAAGGAAGAGAAACAAGAAAGTCAACAGCTATCTTTGCATCAAAATACACTTCCAACTTTTACAAGAATCAAGGAGATACAAGAAAACCTTTAAATACAAACTTATCTGGAAATTAACAAGAACTGGTGGGAGAGTCTTGGATCAAGCACATCTCAGAATGAACATTAGGCAGAGAGAACCAGAGCATCAGGGCGAAGGAAAGCTGATCTGCCACTCAAGGCAGATCTAGCAGTGGTCATCAATCTGCATAAGCCAAATTTTATTGCTTCATTGCGATTTTTCAGGTTTTGAGTAACCCAGTGACTAAATTACTATAAATTGTCTAGCCCTAAAACTTAAGTTTGTAAGCAATTATATGTACAAATCTCATATATAAAATATAACAAAATTAATTTACTGATATATTATGCTAATGACAATAACATCATTATTATTCTCTCTGACCACCAAGTATACACATAAAGACCAAGAGATATCATGGTGGCAACCCTGGAAACAAGTAATTTTACTCTTCCAATATTTAACAGTTGAGCCTTGGTTTAAAAGATGCCTAACACAGGGCAGGCACAGAGTTGGTCAGTTTAGGTTGGCCTTTACTTCTCCAATAGCTTAGGAATGCAGACACTTAGGGTCCACTTAATCAGATGAATGACAAGCTAAAAGCAATCTAAGAGGATAGAATTTTTTCTTTTTCTTTTGTTGGGTCCAGTCGTGGGGCCTGAACTCTGGGCCTGGGCGCTGTCCCTCAGCTCTTCAGCTCTAGGCTAGCATTCTACCACTTGAGCCACAGCACCACTTCCGGCTTTTCCCCCCTGCTTATGTGGTGCTGAGGAATCAAACCCAGGGCCTCAGGCATGCAAGGCAAGCCCTCTACCACTGAGCCACCTTCCCAGCCCCGAGGATAGAATTCTAAACAGAAAGTGGAGGTAGAGAAGATGTAGGAAATGTACCTAGGTCCATTAGTATGTAGTTCTGAGACTACAGGATTCATGATGCTGCTAATCCTAAACTCAGAGAAAAAAGTGAAGAAAAGCCCTTAGGAAGAAAATAAAAACATTAGTTTTTCCAGCAACCCTTTCCCCTTTCCTTTTTCTCCTAACCAAATTGATACACATGAAGACTGTGACTGTTGGAATGGATAAAACAATTCTGCCTACTCTTCTGCCCCCTATTAACATTCCATTAATGGAAGGTAAATAACAAAGAGTAGCTATCACTCACCCTTTGGTATTTATCAGATTACTTTCCTGACACCCAGTTTATAAATATTAGTGCAAAGGGGTAAGTTTTTGATTTGAGATAGAAACAATGTTAAGGATGACATCTTGTTAACAGAAAATGTTTTGTTCAGCAAGAATTTTAAATTACTTTGTTTTACATTTTTACCTCATTTAATTTAAACAACCCTCCGAGGTGAATGTTAATATCAACTACAATTCATAAAGAACTTTAATCTTCATAAAGAAGATTAAAGAATCTAACTAAGGTCATTCAATTAGGAAATTTATAGAAATCAGAACTCTAATTTCTGACTCACTCTAAATCATTGTTTACATGGGAGGCCTAAGAATAGCGGTCCGGAGCCATCCAAAAAAAAGGAGCCTGAGACCCTTGCTGAAAAATAAAGCAAAAGTTTGGGAGCATATCTCTGATGGTAGAGCAAGTATGAGGCACTGAGCTCAAACCTTCCAAAATTTTACCCTAGGTTATTAGGGCATTATTGTAGAGTAGAAATAAAGTTTAGAAAAAGAAAAAAACAAAGACTCCATTATTCAATGAAAAACAGTAACCATACCAAAAAAAAAAATCAGGTAATACTCAAACATATTTACTAGACAAACTGACAAGACAGCACACTACTTACAATAAGTATATGTTTTTAATTTCTCTCTCCACCTTACAAAGGTCTTATGAACATTAATACAATGTCTAACACATTACAAATATTCAATTTAATAGATATCATACACTATTTTGTTTTGGCCAGAGAGAGGAGCCAGTCATAGTGTCTTTCTGGACACTGACTTTGACTTTCCTCACATCAAAACCTTGTGCAGGATATGTTTTATTATGTTGTTGTTATTATTGTTATCATCAGGGCTGTGATGGAATCTAGGGCCTCATGTATGTTAGGCAAACATTCTACTACTGAGCTATACTCCTAGATGTCGCATGATATACTTGAAGATGCACGTAAGCAACAGCTCAGCAATTCCACTTCTGGTCATATAACTCTGAGCAACGTGTTACACGTGATGGACACCAAGGTGGTAAAATCTACTGAGTTGTGTATGATCTGGACAAATCTAATTATATCAACATATACTGAATAATACAGCAAAACAATTCTACCTACATATTTGGTTAAAAACAAAAATATGCACTAACTTCAGAATATTGGTTACAAACTCTATGAGAGTAGAGAATTTTGTTATTTTGTATGTGTCCCTAGCTCCTTCCATTGAGTCTAACACTGCAACAGTAGTTGTTAGCTTTCTGAAGATCAAAAGAAGAACATGGCTTCAGAAAAAGGTCCAAAAAAAGGACTTAGTTGTACCTGTAAATGGTTTCCTGGACCTGGAGGCAGTACAAGAGACTTTAGGACATAATCTCTGTGTTGCCTGTCTAAGGTTAACTGAGCTTCAAAAATTACTTCCACTAAGTCACGAGGTAACTTAAGGAACAAAAGGAAAAGAAACTGCTAGGTGGTGGCAGCTCAGTGCTTGTTATCCTAGCTACTCAGGAGGCTAGATCTAAAGATCAAGATTTGAAGCCAATCCAGGCAGACAAATTCAAGAGACTTATCTCCAATCAGCAAACAGCCAAGCAAAATAATGAGGCTCTGAGTTCAAGTCCCAGTTTTGGCAGGGGAAAAAAAAGGAAACTAAGAAAAATTTAAAATATTCATAGGATTCTCTTAAAATTCACCTTATAGCCTACAATTCTACATCTAAACCAGAGATAGTCAAGGGTGCTTATTGGCTTGGTATTAGCAACTAACATTTATGGAGGAATCTCTACCAGTCAAACACTGTTCTTCTCTAATCCACACCAATCCTAAAAGATACTATTATTATTCTTATTTTACCAATGAACAACTGGGACACAGTGAGGTCAAGTCATGTATTGAAGGGCAAGTACGTGTTGCTTCATGTTTTTCTTTTTGTGTGTGTGGGTCCAGGGCTTGGCACAGAGAGCCTGGCCTTTGAGCATTTTTGCTCAAGGCTAGTGCGTTACCATTTGGGCTATAGCTCCACTTTCGGCTTTCTGTGGTTAATTTGAGATAAGAGACTCATAGACTTGCTTGCCTTGGCTGGCTTCAAATCATGAGTCTCAGATCTCAGCCTCCTGAATAGCTAGGATGTGTGCATGGCATCACATGCTTTACAATTCCCTTAGATAAGGTGCATATGGGAGAGATGTTAAGCTTAAGACACTTGGTATTTACTAACCTAGCATCCCTTAATTTCTTCACAATGGACATATTAATAATACTTAGCACTGAATGCTGCTACAAAGTTTAAGAGAAGGCTACGAAATAGCTAAAACACAGCCTGGCAATGAGGTACTCCACAAATGAACATTATTACTATATTTCTATATAGACAGCCTTATCTAGATTGTGACCTCACCTTAATTAGGGACCGTAAGCTAAGCACTGGTGGCTTATGCCGGCAATCCTACTCAGCTGAGATAGGAGGAATGTGGTTGGAAGCCAGCCTGAGCAGGAAAGTCTGTGAGACTCTTATCTTCAATTAACTACCAGGAAACTGGAAGTGATGCTGTGGCTCAAGTGGTAGAGTGCTAGCCTTGAGCTGAAGAGCTCAGGGACAGTGCCCAGGCCCTGAGTTCAAACCCTACAACCAACCAAAAGAAAAAAAAGGGGGCAGGGGGAGACCTTACTCTTCTAAAAAAATACATTTTTTTGCTAGCGATGCATATAAATTAACAAGTAATTATTTGAGGATAAAATAGGTGATGTATACATCTTAACTCCTTCAGTTCTAAATAATATTAAGACTACTTGTTATGTACATATAGATACGGAAAGACCTTATTAGAAAAATATATTTACATAGTCCTCTTGAATAAGTGAATTAGTAAGGATTAGATTATCAAATTATTAAATTGAAAAAAATTATTAAATTGACATATAGTTTTTCTTTTTTGGTCAGTCATGGGGCTTGAACTCAGGGACTGCGTGCTGTCCCTGGGCTTTACCATGTGAGTCTATTGCTCTACTTCTTTGAGCCACAGCTCCACTCGTATAGCTCTTAGTAGTAAGCCTCAAAAGATTTAATTTGCCCATGAAAAGTTTAAGTTAGTTTCGGAGAGAAATTTTAGCTTTCCCCTAGTCTTCAATTTACTTGAATACGTGCTAGGTCTTATCACAGTATTATGAGTTAACCTGAAATTTCCAAAACCAAGGACTCATAAGACTGAATCAATCTAAGAATCAATACTAAGAAAATGTGGTGAATATTTTGTATCTGCCCTCAAAGGGTCAGCTGACTTCTGGAATATACATCTATTAAATGACAGAGTATTAGGCAATATATAGCACAGCTTAGGGTCAGTGAAGAAACACGTATAGCTTACAGTCCATCTGTAAAGGATAACAGGCCCATGCAAAGTACTTTTAACGCCAAAGCATATGACAAAGAAATTGGTAAGCTTACATTCTGAGGCAGCTATCACAAGGCTATTGATGGTAATCAGAAACCAATAAAATTAAAGCAAATTTGCAAGAATACACAGGGCTACTATTGGGATTTTTCTGTCATTTGGAATCTACAATTACTTATTGATCTTTGCACTAACTATGCACAGACAGGTGTGGTGGTTCATAGCATCCTGAACGCAGAGGATGGAGGATAGAGAGTTCAGGCTAGTCTGGGGTACACAGTAAGACCTTGTCTCAAAAAAAAGTTACACATATTTATATTTTCAAATTTTGTATAATTAGAGTCCAAATACAGAAACAATCTGTCCAAA